CCCTCATCCACATTTCCCGCCATGTTCGATTATGACACATCCTCTACTTCTTTATGATGTATACTCTCGCTTTTCACAATTTGAGTTGAATTACTGAAATAAATGAACTTTTCCACGACATTCTAATTTATTGAGATGCACCTGTACTTATTTGCTCGGCTACTGCTTTTCGCCTACTATATAGTAGTAGGCGGTTTCGGACGCAGCCAGTGTGTTTGCTGCAACGACCTGTGTCTACTCAGAAATGACATATTGATCCACGCGACCAGCGGCGCTAAATTTCAATGCCATGGAGGCAAAAAATTAGAAGGTATACTGGTATGTGGGACACCCATAAAGAACAAATTCTTGTTGAGTTGTGGCAGCAGAGGGAAAGTTTTTGTACGATGTGTCCTCTAGCTGCTATCGTGACCACACCAAAAAGGACATAGCACGGAAGGAGATCGCGGAGGAACTGCAGCTGCCAAGCTCCCTGTGCAAAACTGGCATCCCGAGTTGTCATCTTTTCCCGAGCCATGAGCGGGTCCATATTGCCCTCTTCTGCCGGCGCCTCTTCTTTGTTTCAGCGCACATGAAAAGCACAACTGCCAAAGCACGACCCATCTCGATGTACCGGTATTAGTTCACCACTAGCGCATGCTGATGACGTTGCGCTAACGTGTGTCGCAGCCTACGATTCAACAGGTGTCATCATCGTACAGTCTACATGCTTGTCGTACCCAAGTTTAAACGATCCATGACACACAGTGTGATAAAGTAATGATCTTATAGGATTGCTAAAATCGTGCGGTGTATCGCCCGGGCTTTAGATGAAATCAACTGAAATAAAAGACATTAAATCCATCAAGATCTCAGCAGAAGATGATTAATCATCTCCATAAACAGCATCACCAGCTGCAAACATCACTAACCAGTTTGAATTGTTGTTTGTCATGAGTCTAAAAAATTCTTATTAAGAATTAACAGAGATTTAGATGTTAATGTTTATTGAAAATAATACCGTTGTGGAGATAAGTGTTTGCTTTAGTTGAGCTCTTGACCCATGCCTTTATAACATTAGTTTTTTCCAGTTGCTGTATTTGTGTCTATGAAACACATTTGTTATGGGAAGACAAACCAAGAGAAAATGTGTTTCAATTATTTTTTATATTTTTTGATAATGACATTGTTGTCATGTAGTAGCCAGGTTCACTGATGTGATCAGTGGTGATGTGTAATATAGATCGTTATTGATCGCAAGAGTATTTTAATGAAATAAGAGCTTTTTGTAAATTGCAATCAGAGATTCAGACACATGATATGATTTTTTTTCATAAGATCCTACCCATCACATGTGTGTTTAACACCCACAATTGTGCCAGCCAAAGAAACACTTTAATTTAAAAAGTCAAGGGTCAAGAGGCAACTAAAGTAACCACTAATCACAAAAACGGTAAGTTAAAAAAAACCCCATCTAAACCTTAATTTTCAATAAAGAACTTCTGTTTTAGATCCTCCAGAAATAAAGTCTAACTGGTTAGTAATGCATGAAGCTGGTGATGCTGTTTGTGGAGATGATTAATAATCTTCTGCTGAGATCTTGAGAGATTTAATGTATTTTATTTCAGTTGATTTCATCTAAGGCTGTGGCTGAAGTCAGTAGTTCTTGTGTTTCTCTTTTCTTCAGTGATTCTGCTTGTTAACAGCAGGTGTTCATCACTAATGCTCAATCAGCACTTAATTAATCACATAATTATCTCATTAACTTTAACACTGCTTCAGTGTTACTTTAACACTCTTTTAGAGTGGGACCATATATGCTCCAAGCAGTCTTAATTTAACACTCAGGATTTTACTGTGTATAAACATTACTATAATATTGTCAACTTGATTGCATAGATACTATTTGGACTGAACTGAGATGGATGATGACATCACTGAATCAACAACTTTACCTAGAACACTGACTGTTTTCTATTGTACTCTTGCACTATCAGCACACATTGTTCCTGTTTAACACTGTAAAGCTGCTTTGACACTGTCACAGTCTTCAGCTGGTGTGCCCAGGATGACCACCAGAGGACACTTGCGTAAGCACATGGCTTGTGTCATGTTTGTTTAGTTCCATGTGCTTTCTCCTGTCGATTGTCTGACCCCGCCTATCTTGTTACCTCATTATTGTTTCAGTTATTCCATCTGCGTCTCCCTCGTTACCTGCCCAACTTAAGTCTCCCTGTGTTTGCAGTCCTGTGCTGTTTCGTTATTTGTCATATGTGGTCTAGTGATGCAAAGTCCGTTCTTTTCAGACAGATTGGTTCATTGAACCGGTTCAAAAAGCCGATTCATCGGTTCCTGACACCATCAAGCAATAACGTCTCTACGCATTTCTTTTCTAACAACTCAGTGCCATGTTGTATCAATGAAAAATTCAAATAAGTCATTTGTGTCAACACGTATTGAAACATTCAAAAATAAAGTTATTTGTGTGAAAGCATATTGCTGATTATTGCCATATAATTCACTTAAGTTAATGGTGTTTGTGGTCAGTTTCATTCGCGGATCCTTTATGTCAGGTATGACTGACTGAGCAATATTGACTAACCTACAACTTGGATAAGATTCCTAAAAGTTTCGCACCTACAGCACACATTACAGACACTGATGCACAAACGCGGATATGTTCTACACGTCTACAGTATAAAGAATGAATAAACCAGTCTTATAAACTCCTTGATTTCGCTTAAGCAACTTTATATATAATATGCATGCACAATAAACTATTGTAAAATTTATTTACATCATTTGACAGAAAGGTTTTTGCAGGTTTTAATAAAATGTAAATTAATAACAGTCATAAGCATATTTCCAGTACACACCTCACTCAGGAAAGTTGCACAGTATCATCAACTCAACTCATCAGAATCTTCGGGAATCCTCTGCAAACTTCGCCACGGCTCATTCGGTTCTCGTTGAGTCCTCGGGAATCCTCTGCAAACTTCGACAGTTGGTTGAATCGGCTCATTCGGTTCTTTTTGAGTTGGACGTGCTACTTCAGCTGTGCGTCCTGCGTCATCAAGATTCAGGTCGATTTGTGAACCGGCTCGACCGGTTAGAGCGATTCGTTCAAGAACCTAACATCACTGATGTGGTCCAATGTGTCTGTGCGCTCCTTGTTTAAGCCTGCTCTGCCTGTTCCTGTGTGGCCTTCCCTCGCCTTGCTGAGCTGTGCCCTGTTCTGGCCTTCCTGCCGGTTTTCCCCCTTGGGGTAGCTTTTGTTAGTTTTGTTTATTTTCATTATTAATAAAGAACCCGATTTCCTGCATCGTCTGAGTCCTCGTCTCATCTCTCCACACGCACCCTGACAGACACAATCTGTAAAACGCTGTATAAATAAAGCTGACCTGACAGATGACTTGACAGTCGAAAGGGTTTGCATCAATGCTGAGCTATACTTTTGCTGAGCTGGGCTTTGCCTTATTGCTGTCACATTACACATCTGTCGAGCCTGGTAAGGTGGCATTCAAAGCTGAAATGCAGTTCGATAACCCTTTATTTAAAAAGCCCTGTGGAACTGTCCATTAGAAGAAACCCACAGACATCAGGAGAAGACCTCCTGCCATAGCCAGGACACAGACCAGACAGGGATTTGCTTTTAGTCACTCCAGAATATAATGAACTTGTTAGTGTGTCCCGTTTGGATGTTCTTGCAATATGCTTGTTGTGATGTGTTTGATAGGCTCTAAATCCTTACCTAATCACATGCAGTGATATTAAACATGCAACAGCAGTTGTAGAGAGTCGTATGTGTAGTTAGATTTGTATCATTTAATTAAAAGCACTTAAATTCTCGGCCCCCTCTGATTGTCTTCTGTTGTTGGGACGGGCCCGTGACATGCCTGAATCTGCTGCTCGTTTCTTGTTCTGCTTTATGACTTTTCATCTTTTAGATGATTTGGTTGCTGCTCTTGAGGTCACACAATTATGTTTGATCATGAATGAATGATATATTAAGAAGTGTAGTCATTTTAAGGCTTTATGGCTAAGTCATGTTCAGTGAAGTCGTTATATTATGAAATGCATATTCAATGGAATGTAAATTTTAAAGTAAAAAGTGTCACACATTATTTTCTGCATAATCAATGTCATTTTATTTAGTTGTATTTGGATACAGCACATGGTAGCACTGCGGCGCTCGACTCGTCACATTCCCACTGCATCCATCACGACCGTTGTCTCTCAGCAGAGTTCAGAGATCATTCACAAAGGCTGTGATGCTTTGAAATACCACTCTGACTAGATTTTTATTCTCATTTTAGTGTTTTGATTTACAAATAGAAAGCAGAGGTAAGAAGAAGCTTACATACAATATGGAGATATCCCACATAGCCGGGAGGGATGGCGACGTGCTTTAGGTCTTTCACAGCTTATCGTATAAAGCCATGCACTGCAATTCCACCCGTTTAACTCAAGTCCTTTTTGTAGGAAAATAGATTTTAATGCGTACACAGGCTACATACTCTTACATACATTTGTTGTAAATATTCTTAGTATTTAACTTGATTTTAACCAGTCGTTCGCAGCATGACTTTGATCAGTACAATTCAGGATGCTGTGGCGTATGCGAGAGAAGACACATGATTAAACTCAAAGCCGTAATTACTGTCTGAAGATCTTTCTACTCATTCCATTATAAAACGTCACAAATGTCTCGCTCTACAGTCTTCAGGCGGGCTGGTTGAGAGGTGATGATGTCATTAAACTGCAGGCCCATCATGACATCATCACTGCTCCCCCCCACCCCCCCCAATGCATTTAATGAAATTCACAACAATATAGTCATTCAGAAGTTTAATTTTTCTTCTGACCTGTTTTCTAAACTAAAGATCAGATTAAGTGTAATAATACCACTAAATCTAATAATAAATATGTTAAATGTGAAAACATACTAAATAAAAGTTGTAAAAAATGACATATTCAGAATATGAACCATCAGTTTGTTCTGTAGTTTGTGTCTATTCGCTGCCATCGGCTCGTAATATTGTTCAAGGCTATTTCCTTCAGACAGGAACAGCCCAACTACATCAATTCAACAAATGCCCACATCATAAAGAACAATTGATGACACGAGACAAATGTGTGATAGATTATACTGTATGACTGTTATTGTTAGTAATAATTCACTGTACATAATTAGCAATGTTTGAGTGTTAATATTTGCAAGCTGACGGATGGATGACACAGACACTGGAGCACAGCAGTTCTCCGACTCTGCCGGCCGGGGTTTGGCCTCAGCGTTACAGCAGAACAACAGGCACAGCCTCACACTACATCAACTAGCCTAGCACTACATCTCATGCTGTTATTTGCTGCAGGAAATCAGTTTCTCTTGCTGTTTTTTTTTCTTTTTTCTTTTAAAAATATATGTTAGTGTCAAGATCACAAAATTTGGCTTTAGTGCAGCGGCTGTATGTACTTCAAAGGGATTTAACGTAATAAATTGCATCAAAAACACCATTATTTTAAAAACTTACTTGGGCAACAATACAAACGATACACGGTTAAAAGCCCTGAACTTTGATTATTAAGACAGAGAGACACACATGGCAGATTATTAATGTTCATACATACTGTTTTATAAAACATGAATTCATAAAGATAAATGCATTACAAGCAAAAAATAAAATAATAATAAATCAATAAAAAATATGATAATATAAACCAAATATATTCGCCTTTATGGAAAAAATACATATATACATGTATTAAATATATTTAAAAAATGTAAGAACTTAAGTAAAAGAATAATTCAAAAACAATACTTCAAATAAATGTAATGATTTGTAATCATGAATGGGAAAAGAATGCCTTCAAACCATAATGAATAGAAAAAGATTTTCGCTTTTCAGCCTTTCAGACCTGACTTCTGTTGACTGCAGTGATTTCAGCTGATGTATTCGACATAAGGCATTGTTCAGAGAGGCAGCAAAATCGCTTTGTTTTGGTTTAGTCTGAACAGTTAAAAAAAAATTCTGGAAATGCATCTTAGCCTGTACTGACTGAAATACTGACTACACCGTCTAAAGAATCAGCCTCAGTTCTACTGACCGTTAAAATTGATGCAGGCAGTCACTCCTACAGATCCCATGTTCAAAACAATCAGATTTGTGTGCCACGTGAACAAGGCCCAAGTCTGCCCTACACTCTCAAACAGTTGTATTCGTGCCTTTTCCCTGCTTGTGTCTGTTATCTATCACACCTTCTGCATAATTTCAGCGAGAGAACTGGAAAAACTTCCAATGAGGGAGAATTTACAATCCAAACATCACTTGAAGCAGCGAAGTGAAAATTGTAAACAGTTTTCAGTGCTTGGATGGAATGTTAGAAGCAACTGTCCTGCACATTATTTGTGTCTGTCGGATGCACGTGTGTCATTATAATGCTAGAGTGAAGCTGGCGGTGTTTGCAGATGTCATTTCTTGCATCATATAGTAACGACTGTCTATCCTGAAATCAATATCCTGTCTAATACCATCAGGGCCCTTCATTCAGATGGTCAAGGATGTGTGCGTGTGGAGGTGGAGTGTTAGTTTGGCCCCAGGAATCCTGTCACAGATGTGGGAAAGCTGATGCTGGGCGGAGGCATATTGGGATTGATGGGAGATGTGGTGCCTGAGCTGCCGTGAGTGCCGTGACTGTTCGGATCTTTGCGTCCGCTGTACTGGCCGATGAAAGAGCCGTCCTCGTTAAACTGGATGTCGACACTGTCTCCGTAGTCAGCTAGACTGTCGTTGCTGCTGCGCTTGCTCTCGCAGACTGACTGCTGACTGATGGAGCACTTCTCGTTATCACTGAAGGAGATACAGAGAAGACGCTTGGATTACAGCAGACCAGGAAATAAGTGCACAGTCACGACACAGTTAGTGAGAGAAAGCTGCTCTTACCTCTCCAGAGATCTGTGTGTGTGAGCGTGAGTATGAATGAAAGCAGAGACAAACAATCAGCGTTAGATGTTAGCAGGGTCAAAATTCACCCAAAATCTTTTTTCCCCCTACATGATGTCGTTATTTTCATTAAAATTAATTAGGATTGCTAGAAAAGGGCTTAACAAACTCATTTTTGTGATTTACATTTACATTGGGAAAGTAGAGCCACATCCTAACCAAGGGGAGGTGACATATAAATACACATATGCACATTTGGACTGACCAAGGGATATTACTACATATACCACTGAAGTAGTTCTTACCTAACCAGAGATGGAAAAACTAACAGTGCAGCGATGAAATAAGTTAATCATTGATTCAGTGTTGTTATTGTCCAGCTCAGTTCAAGTCGACAGTATTGCTGGAAAATAAGTGAGCTGGGAGGATGTGAGAGAGTGCATTGGCTGTACGATTGAGCTCCCCATGGAAACAAATGGCATGCAGCGATTTAAGAGGAGATGGTGAGCGAGTCATGACATGTTACAAGAGCATACTCCACCTTGCTGGTTAGGCACTTTCGCACCGCGTAGTTCTAGGAAATTAGTTCTAGTTTACACTTAGTTCTAGGAACTAGCCAGCATAGTGGTTTCTGGAGAACCAATTTCTCCCTTGTGCTGTTTTCCTGGTTGCATATACATACCAGCAGCAGGAACTCTGAAGCGGCCGATAGTGATGTCTTTATTCGTGGCATTTACAAACATCAACAACCGCTGAATGGAGGATGCTGCGTTCGGAGCTGTTATTGATGCTTGTCATGGGTTTCATGATAACAGAGATGGAATGCACAAAAATCTGACTAAATCTCCTATGACAACTTGCAGTGTTATCATCAAGGCTGAGAAAAGAACAAAATGCTGCAGACAACAGGTAAATGCCATTATCTCTGTTTTCTATGTTCCTGGAGTACATATGCATAACATGACTTTTTAAAAATGCCGGGTAGCCGGTGTTTCACATGCGTTTGGCCAGTCAGCGTACACTGCGTCACTGATACTTCCTGTAGAACTGTTTTAGACTCTACTCTGATGTAGGAGCTAATTTAGTTCCCCCAAACAGAGTTCCTAGAGCTAATCACGTTCCTAGTTCCTGCTGTGTGAACACGCCAAAAAGCGCGAACTTCTGCCAATAGTTCTAGGAACTATGAAATGGTTCCTCCGGTGCGAAAGCACCTGTTGAAGTACACAACTGTTGCAGTGTTGTCCATCTGGATGAGCATATGCCTGCCATGAAGCAGCAGATGAAGGCAAGCAACACTGCTAGCGCCCCGATGCAATTGATATACTACTGCAGTTAAGGTCCTGTCCATGAGCCTGAGGATGCATGCTCGTTGCATAGAGTGCCCCAGCCCATTCTGGAGGCATCTGTTGTGACAACAACATGTCTCAAAACTTGTTCTAAGGACACTCCAAAAGCACAACAAGGTCTGATCATGGGCTGAATAAATGGCGACAGATAGGCGTAATGATCACCCGATGTGTGCCATGGTACCATGCTCATATCGAGCCAGTGCTGAAGTGGTCTCATATGCATCAATCCAAGTGGCGTTACTGTAGCTGTGGATGCCATATGCCTCAGGAACCTCTGAAGTTGTTTTCAGTGGAACTGAGTTAGCCCCCTGAATGAATTAGGCAGTTCAGCACTGACTGGGCACGCTTGTTCGTGAGACGCACCGTCATATTAATCGAGTCCAACTCTGCACAGGGATGCTCTTTTTCCAGCTAACCCAAAGCCCTAGGTGGCTGAGGTACCTAAGCACCAAGTCCCTGTACTTGCACAGCAGATCTTGTGAGTACGCTAATATAAGCTAATCAAACACACCTGATCCAAGTCATCAGCTCATTAGTAGAGACTCCAAGACCTGAAATTGGTGTGTCAGAGAAATGAGACATGCAAAATGTGCAGTGTTGGGGTGCCTCTGGGACGAGGGTTGGGAACCACTGGTCTAAGGTACGGTGTATAACTATTATAATACCTAAAAGGAAAAACATGGGCTTAATGAGCTTAATGATTTTTACAGTGTCGGTTTGATGTTAACTCCTGTGATTGTAGTGATGTTCTGGGGGCTGTTATGATCGATGATTCTGTACTCAAGCTGCCAATAAGACTGGCTGATGTTATGTTCTAAAAGGTCTAGACACTAGAAAGATGTCTGGTCTGGATGGTCTTTCTGCATTTTATCCTGAAAACATTTGCAGAGAAATTAGCCCCTGCATGGGTGGACATTTTCTATTGTTTCCAGAGTACTACTGCTTCACATATCATTCCAGATATTTTGAAGGTGACCCTGGAGCACAAAATAAGCAGCACACAGGGGTTAAAGCAAAAAAAAAAATCCTGAGCCTGAACTTTGTCCGGGGGTTGGACACATACACAGGGTTATTTGGCAAAAAAAAAAACATTATTTGGAAATGATTTTTCTTGAAACTAACTAGTAACATATCTGCCCTTGCCATTAGCCGTAAATAACGTAATAATTTAGAAATGATAAACTGATCATTAATAAAGTATGAAAATACAATTATTAAACATTATAGATATGCTCAAGAGCAAAACATTTATAGCTGTATTTATAAACTGCTTACTAATGCCTATTATTGTTGGAACAATGCTTTATACAGGATGAATTGACTATTTAATAATGCTTAACAAATGAATGATAGTGTGCAGTTATTATAAAGTGTTACCAGTTCAATTAACAACAACAAAATAAAATGCTCCAAGAACTGGTAACTTAAACAGGGTTCGTACAGATACTCCAAAATGAAATTCCAGGACTTTCAAGGACTTTTCAAGCACTACTCTTTTGGTTTTCAAGGACTAAAATCAGATCTCACTTATCACTTATCAAAAAATATTGTTATTGTCTTTCAAATTCTAATAAATAAACTAATAAAACAAATGGTACAAATAAAGTGCAGCACATGCAAAGAATGCAATGACTGTGGCAACTTTAACATTTGAAAGAATACTATGGCAAAGTTATCGCTTTCCTTATTCAAACTGATTTTTTTTTCATGAATATATGATTGACCTGAAGAATGAAAGCTATATGATACACTTGGAAAATGATGAGCTTTATCACGCTCATAGACACTAGGGGTGTGACAATAAACTTAGCTCACGAGATGAGACAAAATACAGATACTTGGTTCACTAGAACAAGACAATATTTTAATACTTTTAGAAATATTTGAATGACAAAATATTTGTCTTTTAATTACAAAAAGTAGAACTTAACTAACTAGGGCTTAACTAACAATTATTTTGCTAATCAAGTAATCTACTGATTATTTTGATAAGTATGTTTTAGTAATACGAATAGAACTAAGTGAAAAACAGGCTTTAATATGACTATATTTATATATAAACTAATGATGAGGCAATAATAATTGGCTCAAATAAAGTATCAAAACCAAGTACATGGTTTGGGGCGTGTTTGTTTTGGTGATTTCAAATATCAACATTGGCTACCAGAAATCCCTCACTCTGCCTTTAAATACATAATGTAATATGCCTTTATTATAACAAACACCTGCAGAGGGCGCTTACGGCCTGGTGATGTTTCATGTGATTCAACGACGTTTAAATTCATTTAATAGCAATATTTGGCCATATGCAAAGTGAGAAACTTTTATTTTGAAATCGTGATCTACTATAAATCACATATTTAGAAATATGTTGATGTATTCTGTGTTGGCAAAGGTTTATAAATGACTTAAGTTACAAATTAAGTGAGATACTATTATGCGCGTCTCATGTTTATAGGACCAAAAATGTCTGATTGGCTAGTAATGCTAGTTTGGTTGAGCATGAATGCTGTGTTCCTCTCATACATTGGTAGGCGAACTCATTAACTCGAACGTGGTATCAACAAGTTGTTTTTTTTAATGTAGGAGGACTATCTTATGTTCCCACAGCTAAACGCCACACGCCGGAGAACTTTAAGCCCTGAGCACAGTTATAGGCAATAGCCAACTACATTGTATGTGTCAAAATTATCGATTTTTCTTTTATGCCAAAAAATCATTAGGATATTAAGTAAAGATCATGTTCCATGAAGATATTTTGTAAATTTCCTAGGGCTGGGCGATATGGGCAAAAATTCATATCTCTGTATTTTTTGGCAGATTTGCGATATACGGTATATATCTCGGTAATTTCGTTTTTGTATTAGTATTTAAAAAAATCTGTATTTAATATATGTATGTATATATATTTCACTTACTGCCTAATGTTGTCCAACAAAATACATAATAAAGGCTATGAAAACAAATAAAGTGAATGTAACCATGTAAGCCTTTTTATATTATGTGCAAAAAGGGTTAAACTCACATTTCATTCTAACATTGTAACATTGCAATCTAAAAACAAAAATAAGGCTTTTAAAGTGGAAGTTAAATTCACTAAACTAAAACTAAATATAAACGAGAACAAAAGCACAGAGTTGTGTTGGGTTATTTTGATTACCCCATTACAGTCACTTTACAGTCATAAAAATACACTTACTTGTAGGTTTAAAATTCTACATGTCACATTTATTGTCCAACTATAAATATTTCAGTGAAATGTATATTTTAGTCAGAATTATTGTGCTCCTATTTAATTGAGATCTGTCTGTTTGACGCGCATGCTCGTTCACTGAAGTCTGTGAAGTTTAGCGGAAGCAGAAGCAGAAGGCTCATGCACTTCTGACAGAAAAATGGAAATATTTCCATGGCTTTCTAACATTTACAGATGGAGAATATACCTGTGAAATGTAAGTTATGCATTCAGGAAGACAGCACATCTCAAACACATTAAACCGCGCAAGTAGCCTGTGTCTCTGTCAGTGGCACAAGCAGCCTTTCTGTCAGAGCACATGACGACACTATAAATCACTAAGAAAAGTAGGAGAATATAATCATTTTCATATGTAATAAATTACTTGCGGCTCAGAGCGAGCAGACGAAACACAATGAATGCGGTCACTGCTTTCAGAGGTGGATTGGGAACGCAGTCGTGTAAGACCTTTCTGGGAGGCAATTATACAGAAATACTTTGATGACAGACTTTGCTCGTGCATTTCTGAATGACCATAACAACATTTCAGATGCTGTGGAATGAGATCGGTCCGCTGGTTGGTCAGGTTTTGCCGTCACATAGCGCAAAGACACTTTTTTGATGCGCTTGGAGGAATTTATTCGCAAAATGCATTTCCATCTCCCATTATTCGCATCAACCCTTTTTTGCACAAGTTAAAAACCACCTCTTTTAAAAAACATTTTTATTCGAAATTCTGCGTTTCCATCACTCGTTTCTCATGCGATACTTCAAAATGGGCATTAAAATAGGGTGATGGAAACATAGCTATCGTCTTTTCATCAATGATCAGTGATCATTGTCCATACATCAATGGAAAGCTTATTTATTCAGCTTTCAGATGATGTATAAATCTCAATCTCAGTTTAAAAAAAATGACTTTTATGACTGGTTTTGTGGTCCAGAGTCACATATATCTCTTTATATATACATAGCTATACATTTTAGATGCTATATTTAGATTTTAGATATATTTTAGGGTTCATCGAACATGAAAAAATATACACAAGCTATAAATACAATTTATGAAAGCACACTTTCATCGCTAATGTTTGATGATGGTGATCAACATCAGTGATGATACTGTGACAGAGGGAAAACACACTATGTTTCATTCCTTCAGGATTCAGGGAAAGTGGATCAAAGTTGATCAGACCCTCACCACTTTTTTTCAGGTAACGGAAGCTAAAGGCAAAGTTACGCTGTCTTTCTCCTGGCACCCAACTGACGTTAACCGATGTTTGTCCAGCTTCAATGTTGATTGCAGATGGTGGTTCTGCAGAGGGAACGTAGATAATACAATATTGTAGATCAGAAAAGTTTATATTGTGTCCTGTAACACACACAACTGAGAATGCTGGGATTTTGGCTGTGCAGTTTCACCTCCATCCAGCAAGGTGGCGCCCTCCATTTCTATTGGCTCCCCCTCACCAGCAGTGGTGAGTGCTCTGAGTTTGAAGTGGTATTGGATCCGAGGATTCAGACTCTTCAGTGTGAACTCAGTAACAAGAGGCAGGTTGATGGATTCCATCAGCTGTGCGCTCGAAATTCCAGGCACAGCTAAACAGAGGACAGAACAGAATCCCATCAGAATGAATAAGACTTCACATTAAGCTTTCCTTTGTAAAGGTGCTCATTAATAACTGATAACTTGTTCTTAAAGACATGAAAAATCACTGATATGCAGTGTTGGGGGTAATACACGAGTTACGTAATCAGATTATTTTTTTCAAGTAACTAGTAAAGTAATGCATTACTTTTTAATTTACAAGAAAATATCTGAGCTGCTTTTTCAAACAAGTAATGCCAGTTACTTTGTTTTCCCATGTATTGACTGGCAACTCTCGTGTTGCCATGTTGAGAGAAATGGGGAGTAAGTGCAGAGGCGTTGTGTGCGCTGTGTGAACGTGATGTTACCGTAGTTCTAGACTAAATGTCAACATGCATGATTTCATCTCACTACACAAAAACAGATGAATAAAAAAACATTGCAAACTCAGAATATGATGCAAACCTGCAATAAATATGTTAAATAGCACAAATATCCTTTATGTGCTTAATCCAATTTTATTAACCAGTGTCTTTGCTGCTGACCTTCAGTCATCCAATTCAACCTTACTAATAAGCAAAAATTACTTCAGATAAACTAACATTTGTGCTTAATTTTTTATTGCTAAAGAGTGTTGAACTTTCTTCTCCTGTGTTCTACTGTACTGAGCCTGAGGCTTATTCAGTTCAGTTTTGGTGTGAAAGGGCTTTTACGTTTGCCAAAAATATAACTTTTTATATTAAAAACAAACAAGAAAGCCCTGCCCAGGTTTAAACAGTAATGCATAAGTAGCACAAACGAAGCGCAAAAGTAACTTTACACAATTCTTTCTATAAAAAAGTAACTAACGTAATTAGTTACTTTTTTAGGGAGTAATGCATTATTTTACTTTCCCTAACACTGCTGATAGGCAGATATAAGCATATCTCCAAGGTAAACAAGCTGTTTCCATGTGTGCTATTTATAATTTTTTTAAGGGGTCCTATTATGCTTTTTCACCTTTTCAACTTTAGTTAGTCTGTAATGTTGCTGTTTGAGCCTAAAAAAGATCTGCAAAGTTACAAAGCGCAAAGTCCACTTCAAAAGGAGATCTTTTATTGAACAGAAATCACTTTTCAAAAACTACAACGAATGACTCGTTTGGACTACAACGCATATTTTCTGGGATTTGTGATATCACAAATACAAATGAATGCAATGAGACCTGTTTGAGCTGCACTAGAGAAGGCGCCGAGTGCTGCCAATCACAGCACACACTGGCCCAGCTAACCAATCACAGCACACACTGGCCCAGCTAACCTATCACAGCACACACTGGCCCAGCTAACCTATCACAAAATGGATGTCCCATTGACTCCCCATGTTAAAATGGCCAACTTTACAGCAGGAAAAAACATGTTTACAGCCTGGTACAAAAAATGATTTTGGTCTATATAGCTCATTTTGTCCTTCATGACAACTGTGAGGGGGGTGAATTTTTTTATAACTCATCCGTTTAAATGATATTAAGCCTTAAAGTTCTGCATAATTAAGGGCGTGGCCACATGAGTGACAGGTGGATTACCGCTGCTGTCACCAGCGTCGAGCTAGGTGGGCGTGGTTTCCGCAACCAGCTCCCGCCTCTTTGCCCATTTTCGATTGTCCGGGAGTGACGCGCTGCCAAGATGGCGACGGCCGGCTCCACCCACTTTGAGCTTCAAAACCGCTCTTCAGAAACCTACGAGTGACGTCACGGACACTACGTCCATGTTTGTATACAGTCTAATCATTACTCCAGTCACATGATCCTTCAGAAATCATTCTAATATTCTGATTTGCTGCTCAAAAATTATTTATTATGTTGAAAACAGCTGAGTAGAATTGTTTCAGGTTTCTTTGATAAATAGAAAGTTCAGAAGAACAGCATTTATCTGAAATAGAAAACGTTTGTAACATTCTAAATGTCTTTATCATCACTTTTGATACATTTAAAGCATCCTTGCTAAATAAATGTATTAATTTCTATCATTTCTTTCCAAAAAAAAAAGAAAGAAATTATACTGACTCCGAGCTTTTGAATGGAATAGTGTATAATGTTACAAAAGCTTTTTATTTCAGATAAATGCTGATATTTCTATTCATCAAAGAATCCTGAAAAAAATGTACTCGGCTGTTTTAAATATTGATAACCAGCAAATCGGCATATTAGAATGATTTATGGATCATGTGACACTGAAGACTGGAGTAATGATGCTGAAAATACAGCTTTGATCACAGAAATAAATTACAGTTTACTATATATTCAAATAGAAAGCAGTTATTTTAAATAGTAAAAATATTTCAGAATGTTACTGTTTTTGCTGTACTTTGGATCAAATAAATGCAGGCTTGGTGAGCAGAAGAGAATTCTTAAAAAACAAAACATTAAAAAGCTTACTGTTCAAAAACCTTTGACTGGTAGTCAAAGTATTCTTATAGATTGAAACAAATGTGCTTTAGCCAGTATAACTTTGGATCAAATAAACGCAGGCTTGGTGAGCAGAAGAGACTTCTAAAAAAAACATTAAAAATCTTACTGTCCAAAAACTTTGACTGGTAGTGTAGGCTGATTCTTCTTATAGATTGAAACGTGCATTAACCAGGATAACGAGTATGAAACATGCTCCAAGTTGCTTCAGAAAACAAAAAAAGAGCAACAACAAAAGCATGTTGCTGGAAATGGGTTTATTATTGAAACTGCAAACTGATTGTCTGCCAGCAGGAGGCGCTGTGAGAGCGGCAGAACTAGCGGTTTCTCCAGTAACGGCTGTAATCAGCGTAATGTAACGGCTCCGCTCATGAACGCTACTTTATCAGATCAAATGAAAATGCCATCGAAACTTTTCTGAAGACAGTCGGTTCCCTTCAGAGATGCATTCATATAAAACACCCGCGCCGTGTTATGATTTTGAAACGTGCAGTGCTCATGTTTATTCAATGAAGTCAAACGCCACAAATAAATCAATGTATGGGAAACACTGGTAATGTATATCGAAATATCGGAAATGTGTTTAAAAATCATATCACCGTTATTGAAAAAATGTATATCGCGATACATATTGATATTGAATTATTGTCCAGCCCTATTTCAAAGCTATCTATATTATATAATGTGCTAATTTTACATATAATGAATGATCCTGAGTTGACCCACGTTCATTGTACTGTAGCAGGTAGCCTGTGAGCACTCCGTTGGGTTTGTCTGGAGCTTCCCAGCGCAGGGTGATCTCCGTCTCAGATGGGCTCTCGAAGGTCAAAAATGAAACTGGTCCAGGAGCTGGATGTCAGAAGAGCACAAGTTCAGCTGATCTAAATCCACTTTCACAGAGGTTTTCACATGCGCTGTAAAAAGTGACCTTACCGCCCTCTGGAGTGCTAAAGTGATACGCCTTCGAATGCGGACCTTCACCTTTGCTGTTGAAAGGTGCAACTGTCAGAGTATAGTTCGAGTAAAACTGCAAGTCGCTCACGGCCGTCTCCACCTTGTTTCCATGAACCACAATCACTCTGTTCCTGTCCGCTGCTGGTTCTTGCATCGGCAGGCCTCTTCGGCTGTGAGTTCTGGGGCCTTTCTTTCTCAGATGGATCTCGAGAGAGAGAGAGAGAGAGAGAGCGAAAAACAACTATGAGAATCAGCAGCCCCTCTAGAATTTGGGAAGTTCTGGGAATGCTTTCAGCGGCAAGTTTTATTTTTGTTCCCAGAATGTTCTGCTAAAAGGTAGGATAACATTCTCTAAAAACATTCTAAAAATGTTTATTGATAACATTATTAGAACATTATCCCCTAACATTCTAATAAAGATTTTAGCGGGAAGGTTCCCAGTGCACTAGATGTAGACTTGTGGATGTGGATGTGAAATTTTGGTTGAAAGTGAAAACCCACCCTTTGTTTGATGTCAACCTCAATTGTCATTAAATAACAAAAAAACAGCATTACCAGCTTCACTTGTTATAAACCAGATTGGCTTTATTTTTGTCATACAATTACAAAAGTTCTTATTAAGATTAACAGAGGTTTAGATGTTGAGAGTTTATTGAAAATAATAGTTTGGCTTGAAGTCATCAATGGTGACATGCTTCATGCCGCAATGCATTCTGGGAGCCACAGATTAGTTTTGTATGATGCACCCAGAATGCATTGCAGCATGAAGCATGTCATCATTGCTGAGATTCATAACCTGATTCTTAATAACAATTTTTTTTAATGCTTGAAGAGGTCTGATTAAAACACTGCTGGATCTCAGTCTGAAGAACCACTGAGTGTCTGTAATAAATAATGTGCAACTAATACCATAGATTAGACTGGAAGAAATCAGATAACCAGACCGTTACATAATGATTATATCGCTATCATCAGCAAATAGCCAGCATTATCTAATCATGTTTTCTTGCTGTTTTGCCATAACAAACACAGATACCACAGCTAGAGAAAAAACATTGAAAAGTCAAGAACCAAACTGCCCAACTAAAGCAAACACTGATCACCATAATGGTGACATCAACCCAAACTATTACTTTTAAACAGACATCAACATCTAAACCTCTGTTAATATCAAGACTTTTTGTAGCTGTATGAGTCTGAGGGAGGACTGGGCTCGCTTATTCCTATGCCATTGACAGCTCTGACCCGGAAGTGATATGTGCTGTAAGGCTGCAGGTGGATCTCCAGGTGTCTGATGTCTTGAGGAACTCTTCTGTACTCCTCCCAGTGGCCCTTTTCTGGATTCTGCTCCTCTTTCTTCTCAATAACATACTCTGATGGACAACAGAGATGAAAGGTCAGTCAAACCGTAGCAATGTCTGATCCAAAAGGTTCTTGAGAAAACTCGTTATCCTACTCCTAAAAAGATTGGGGTTTTTTTGTGGAGCATCTAGAGTGTATTGAGGATTTGATAAAAGGGGTGCTCCATAATGGTGTGTATAATGGTGTCAGGATTGAATAAACAGAATACAAGCGGTGAGCTGTGGTGAGCACAGTCAAAGACTTGATTCTGATTACCAGATACAGGACTGTTGTTTTGAGCGCCTGGCATCCAGGACAGCGTGACTCTACGCTCCTTCCTTTCAGACAACTCCAGAGAGTGAGGAGAACCGGGCTTATCTGAGGAGTGTCCAACACATCAGTGTCTTTCAGAAGCAAGGCAGTGTCAAACACTGTATTTGGTGACAGTGACAGACTCACCCTGTACGGTGATGGAGCCGGTGGCGCTGACCGAGTCCAGTTTAGTGCTGATCTCACAGCTGTAGATTCCCGAGTCCTCCATCCGAATGTCAGTGATCTTCAGAGAGCCGTCGAGGTATTCAGTGTATCTGCAACCATTGAAATCACAAGCTATAAACACCAGCAAATCCACTGCAGGACAATGCCGTTCATATGGCCAGCTGCTTTTGGCAGCAGTGCACTGAAGTTATCGCCATGTGTGATGTTTATGTAACTCATGGCACTGTTTTGCTCAGTTAGTTGCACACGCTGATATAGGCATCTCGAAAGAGAGCGGTCAGTGAACTTTTACACAATATTTACTCAAAATAAACACATTACAAACAGAATCAACAGAAACTCAGCTTTGACAGCAGTTTGGCCACTTTTGTTAACTGCTGATACCGATAAGCTCAAAATAGCAGAGATAAGTTTTATGTGGTGTGTTTACTTGTCATCATTAGCAGATGATGTGATCTTGTGTTTGTCCTTCTTCCACTGAATTGTGGGTTGTTTTAACTTGTGGTCCACTGTATATTTGCACTGCAAAACAGCATCGTCTCCACGTAAAACCCGCAGATCCTGAGGAGGGTCCACAATCTTAGTTCTGTCTGGAGACAATAACATGAAACGACATTCACCACCCATTTTACCTCATTAATGTGACATACAGGAGAAAGATTCAATGATTCAAAGACCTGAATGTGATTTTGCACTAGGTTTTTAAACTACTTCCCTCCTTCAACCCATATTGTAGGGAGCTTTTTGGCTAGGATGTGCAACCATCTATTGCTGTTTGCTTTTGTTCCTACAATCTATTATATTAACGTCAATCAGCATTAAATTACTGCAGAAATTATTGGCATGAATTTGGTCAAATGAACAGAACCTACAACAGTAGCCTCAACAATGTCCAAAGCTAGCTATTTGTCTAATATTAACAAAGAGAGAGTGTGGCCTTGTTGACGCAAAGCTCAAAAGAAAATAAAGTTCTTACTACTCTGCCCTTCAAAAGTTTGGGATCAGTGAAATTTTAAATGTTTTTAATGGAGTCTCTTATGCTCAATTTTTTAATTTTTTTTATTCTTCGATGAATAAAAAGTTTTAAAAAACTGCATTTATTCAAAATAGAAATCTTTTCTAACAATATAAGTCTTTCCTACTGTAAGTCAAGTTTATTTTATTCCTCAGTTTTTGCTGTTGCACTGTATATATAAATTGTGAATTATGAAAGTTATGAATGTTTTAATCTATCTTGAAAAAAGCTTGCAGAAAATATGCTTTTGTGGGAATCATCCTCAGTCTGTAACTTGGTAAAACAATTATCTTTATTTAAAATGTTTCAAGTCTTAATACTTTTCCTTTTGTTATACTGGGATAAATATTACCAGGATGTATGCTAAAATTATTGGATGTGGTGCCCTACCTAGAAAATAGTCCACCAGCTGCCACTGATAGTAGTGTATATTGTAACACAAAATTTCGGTAACACTTTATTTTAGGGTCTCTTAACTAGTTGCTTATTAGCGTGCATATTACTAGAATATTAGCCATTTATTAGTACTAATTAAGCACATATTAATGCCTTATTCTACATGACCTTATTCTACATCCCTAGTCCTACCCAACACCTAAACTTAACAACTAGCTTACTAACTATTAATAAGCAGCACATTAGGAATTTATTGAGGGAAAAGTCATAGTTTATAGTGAATAAGTGGTCCCTATTCTAAAGTGTTACCAACATTTCTGTTTTGAATTAACACTGTTCTTTTAACTTTTTATTTATCAAAGTATCCTGAAAAATTAAAAAAAATTAAAAATCACAGGTCCCAAAAAATATTAAGCAGCACAACAGTTTTTTTAACATTGATTGTAAATCAGCATATTAGAATGATTTCTGAAGGATCTGAAGACTGGAGTAATGATGTTAAAAATTCTGATTTGCTTCACAGGAATAAATTATAATTGAAAGCATATTAAAATCGAAAGCTGTTATTTTAAATTGCAAATATATTTCACAAAATTACATTTTTTTTCTGTAATATTCATCAAATAAATGCAGCCTTGATGAGCATAAGAAACTTCTTTAAAAAACATCAAAATCTTACTGATCCCAAACTTCTGAATGCCACTGTCCATTTTGAAAAGCCCTTCGTGTACAAAGCAAGCACGTTGTGTAATTCTGATCTCATGTTGAGCGATAAGCTACTGCACCTTCAGTGTGAAATGATTTGGACTTACTCAGGACCTCCAGCTCAGCACTGATGCTCCTGTTGCTGTGCCTCACTGAGCACGTGTAAATGTTGCTGTCGTCTTCACTCACGTCACTGATCTGAAGATTTCCATCGCTCGTCTGAGACATTTTAGCATTGGCCAGAGCGGGACCAAACTCGAAAATCTCCCTGCACACATTCAAAGCTACTGCGTTATACACACATCCTCCAAAAAAGCTGGATTACTAGTGCAGGATTCTTTCTCTAATTTCCAGAATTTCAGAACACGTGTTATAAAAATGGGTCTTTTCATCAAACACTACAAAGATGACATACATCATTGCTTCTCATTAAAGGTTTTGTGGATTTTCAAATCTTTTTTTCATGTTAATATGTTTAAAAGGTTCACTTATAATGCTAGCAAAGTTTTTTGCACAAAAATAAAAATATATATGCGAGAAGTTATTCTTTTCAACTGGCTAATGTCATTGCATAGGAAATAGCAGCCTATTCTATAAATGCTTTGTCCATAAGAGGGGTATTTTAAGCTAAGAAACTTGCAGAATGTTTTTATGGTACAAATACCTGTTTTCTGCAAAAACCATAAGGGGAAGCTGATCTCTCATGTCACGTGATCCCTTTAAAACATAGCAAATGTGTTCAAAAACAAAACAAAACCCCATGCTCACCAGTCGACTTTGGGTTGTGGGGAGCCAAACGTGCGGCACCGCAGCAGGACCGCTTGCCCTTCTGTGGCCTTGTACATGAGCCCGTCTGCCGTCAGGATCTGAGGAGGCAGCTCTGGCAGACAGAGGGGAGGCTGTTTACTCACATATAGCACCAACATGAATCCATTCAGTTTCAAGCACACACCCATATTCATTCTGGAGGACAGCGTTCCCAGGCTTTCTACAGCGTGGAGCGAACACATGCAAATAAGCGAAGGCCATTGAATTAAATGGTGCTCACCAACTACATGGACGTGTGTGTTGACCAGGATATTGCCGTGTTTATTGGTGGCCTCGCACTGATAGACCGCCGTATCGCTGTACTGAACGTCAGTCAGGATCAGTGTCCCTGAGCTCACATGCCGCCTGGCGTCCGAGTCCGTCCCTGCGACACACCAGGAAAACTAAACCTCAGACTTGACTCGACGTGAACCACAGAGAGAAGAGTGTCTCAAAAGAGTTAGGAAAACAGTGTGGCATTTACCAACGAATAAATATGAATGAATGTTTAAGACAATTTCTTGACATACACAGTCATATATAAATATATACTTGTTTAAACCCCTCACTGTTTTTAATGCTCTCTTCCTCTTACGTCCCTCATTTTCATTTTAATGTATAACCATTTTTCATTGTAACTACTTTTTTTTACTTCTGACTTTTTGTATTTTTTCCTTTTTTTGTACTTTTTGTATTGGTCTATTATTGTTCTAATGTTTGTGTTTGGTGGTGACTGCAGACGTATGTCTGAAAGTAATTTGGCTGCTTCTTGCAGAGGAAAGCCAGCAGTTTCTTGTTTTGTTATTTATTTATCTCCTTTTTTCATTCTTCTTTTCCGCTTAAATTTGATGAGGCAATCTGTTTTATAGTGCATACCCCTACAGTGGCAAGCCTTTAGCCACCCATCACTGCAAAGACACGTCAACTAACACACCAGTCATGTTGTAATGAAGCCTGCGAGTCACCAACGAGCCGCAGAAGTTTGCAGCTTCACATAAATGGATAGAACTAATAAACACATATATCAGATATTTCCACTAAATCTGAAACACTTATGTAAAGCACCAATCTAAGGACACGTAAGCTGAAGTAGAGAGGCTAGGCCACCTAATGGCACTATAAAAGAGAAAATCATGCTAGAACTACAGAAACCGCTGGTCCAGTTCACTTCTAAACTGACCTGCAGGTGCCATCATAATTCATGAGGATATGAAAAACATTCTTCATAAGAACAGAAGAAAAAATTAGCCACCTGGCTATGCTGTCAATGGTGTCATATCACGCCATTAGAGCCTGCTATTTCTATACAGTTGAATTTCTACATTTGCCTGCCAGTTCCACATGTTGTATTATGCTTTGAAAACTGCTTGTTTTTCAATAGACATTTAACTTGGGTTTATCTTGAATGGACCCATTCCTTGAATAAACTTGATTCAATCAAGTTTTTTTGGTGTTATAAGTGGTGCATTCAGCTATATTTCTTTATTGTTACAATTTTAACACTTTAATATAATAATAAAGCCATCAAACCTACAGAAAGTAAGTACGCAGAGACTAAGAAATGTTTGTGTGCCCTGTATTCTGGAGCTCACTGACAGCTCTGATACCTGCGATGGGAACACCGTTGATGCTCCAGGTGATGTTCGGGGTGGGAATGCCCTCAGCCTGACAGTCCAGCCTCACAGTCTCTCCTGGGGCGTACAGCTGGTCCTCAGGACGCCTGGTCCAGTACGGAGCAGCTGCCCACAATAAACACAACTCAAGCTGTTAGAAAAGCATGTTATCTGTTGCAGTATATACTGTGTCATCTGGCAGTGAGTGTGTGCGTCTTACCCTCGACCGTGACGGCGTAGTGGTGTTTAACAGAGCCCTGGCTGTTTTGGGCAGTGCATGTGTACTCGCCATCATCCCCCTCCGACACGCTCTCGATCTGGAGCCAGTGCTCGTAGTTCAGCATCCGGACCCGCGCCGGAGACAGAGGGCTGTCCATCCGCTCCCACCGCACCTCTGGAGTGGGGCTTAAACACAAGCAGAGTGCTGCTTAAAGACTGCTGCTGCCCCAGTCAAATGAGATCAGCCCATCCAGTGCCTTTCTCACAGATCAGATTAGCCTTTCATCATTATAGACTGAACAATAACCACATGAATATTACTGGCTCTGTTCCTGCTCTTTGGAAGCTGCTGTATGCTAAATGCATGAATGTAAATGTCAATTTGTTTGGTTTTACAGTGTGTGTCTTATATTTACGACGTCTTTATGTACTTTCTCAATACAAAAGTGTAGAGAGAATATTAAAAGCAGAAGATTAAGAACTTAAAACCGTTATTTTACCTTTCCAGTAAACTCTTGCTCTGCAAACACCAGTCACAGCTTTAACTGGTCTGTTCTGGCCAGTGACCATGACATAAGCAGCATCAGTATTATTTTAATACGGCCGTTTCTACTTGGCTGATTATTGTGTCAACATCCTGCATTAAAACTCTACAGTTAGCTGTTATATACACAATATTACATATGCATAATATCCATTATAGGCTGTATGTCTTGTTACCTGTTATCTTGAGGAGCCAATCACAAGATCACAGTCATGACACCACACCCCGGTTTTATAGCATCAAATCGTCAAATAACATACATCAGTACCACCTAAAATGATGGAGATAATCTTTGGGAAAATGTATTTGAAGTGTAATTTGATTGTTCAGTTTACGTGGAGAGGGCGGGGTTTATGACCTGTGCTGCAGTCAGCCACCAGAGGGCGATCGAAGCGCTTTTTACTGCACTTTACAGGACGAGTGTGGCACACTCGCTTTGGGCATGCTTCAACTTCCTTCTTTTGGTGTCGTGTTGTAAAGCATCCCTGGGTTTTGTTATTGTAATCTTATTTGATTTTAAAAAAAGCATGCATATTCACACACAGAGAGTACGAGACTAAATCAGAAGAGAGTTTACACACAGGGTGTGACGCTGATGGCGATGGGCTCTTTGGGGAGGATGACGCTGGCGTTGATGTAGTGGGCATTGCAGGTGTAGTCTTCTCTGCTGTCACTGTCTAGTAAGTTGGCAAAGTACAGATTTCCATCAAGACTAGTGGTCACCCGCTCATTCAGAGGGATGTGGCGCAGCTCTGAACAACAAACAAACACATAACGTTTCAGTTTTATCAATCAAGTATTATGCAGGGTAATTTAGTTTGGCAAAAGTCGATACAATAGAAGACTTACGCATGTCCATCCAGTGTATTTTGGGAGTGACAGAGCTCTTGGGAGGGTTACAGTAGAGCACTGTGGTTTCTCCTTCCTCAAACGATCTTCTTTTCTGCCTCTTCTCTTTGGCCAAGGTTGGGATGGCTGTGAAATAGCCAGAATAATTCTTTAATGTTCACTGTTTATGCAAGGTTTGCGCTTTCACAAAGACAGCAGCAACTCTAATGACATGTCAGTATGGTCACATTCTTCATCAGAGCAGAGCATTCATGCATAAATGACTGTTTTGGAATGAAATACTGGAGTACTGCATACTGGGCATTATACTGTGTACTGTGTACTGCCTATGGTCTTTGAACAGAATTCAGTGATAAAACGTTGCAACGCTGTTGTCACATAAGCTTACAGCACTGAATGTACAGTATAATTTGGCAGTTTTAGTCTGGGGCATCTTTTGCATGTGAACTCAATTTGTGAAGAATGGCTAACAGGAGACCTCAGGCTCGCTCTTCTTCTGTAGTATATAGTCTGAATATATCTATACCTGATCTCTCTGGAGCCACAAAGTCTGCTCACTAACTGAGATATTGATCTGTCCTTCAGTTTGTTTTCTCCAGCTGGCTTAAAACACACATCCATAATGGACATGGATTCAGTCTTGATTTTGTTATTTTTTGCATGTAAGTGACAGTCAGTGCTGGGAAGGTTACTTTGGAAATATAATAGCTTACAGATTACAAGTTACCCTGTTTAAAATGTAATATGTATTATTTCAGTTACTTTATTCAATTACATCTGATTACTTTTCAAAAATCTCTAGCGAATGTTTTCAACTGTTAATCAATTAAAGGGTTAACCTTACAGTGGGACTCAACACTAATTACTGTCAAAATCCTACATCACTTGAATTAAGATTATAATCATTTCATTTGAAAACACAGCCACCACAAAATCAGAGTTTAGTACCTCTTTTTACTTTGAGATTGTTCTGAGGTTAAATACAGATTTAAAATCATAAGACAGAGTTTAATAGCTATGATGAAATCAAGTCTTTGCAAAGATATGACAGGAAACACTGGAATCTAACAATGCCTTGGAAGAAACAACATTAACATTTAACATTTTCATAAGTAACTACACATTTTTTCTCAGTAACTGTACCAGATTACAGTTACATTTATTTTGTAATTAAATTACGCAATTCCATTACATGTAACGAGTCTGCTGACAGTCTGCTGCATTGCTTTGCTCTGCGTTCTGTGCTTTGCTGTGTGTTTGCGCTCTGCACTTGATGCTGCAGGTTTTACTCTCAATCTGTGGGTCATCGCAGTTCGTTTCATCACCCAAGCAGGGTGTGTGGACTTGCTTTCTCCACTCAAACTGATGCATGCGGTCTGCTATTGTGGAGAATGGAGAGGCTCATCCGTATACATTCTGCTTTCCAGTGGTAGCCACTGAGACGTAGTGCTAGAGACTCACGCTCTGTGATCAGGTGCACCAGGTCTGAGACGGCGGTTCCCAGCTCGTTGGCCACGTAGCAGCGGTACGAGCCCTGATAGGATCGGAGCTCCTCTTTATCATCTGCTGTCAGGGTCCCGGACTCAAACAGTTCCCTCCTAAACTCTTCGCCATCTTTGACCCAGCGAAAGCTGTCAGTGTGAGGCGAGAAAAGAAAGACAAATTTAAATCTAAAGACAGACAGATGGAGAGAGAAAAACACAAATACTGAACTACAGACTCACATAACAGATGTTTCCATATGATCCACAAGACAAAATAATGAGCCCGTTCACCTTTGCTTGATTCTTAATATCATCACCTGGGTGATCCACAACTGTTTGTTTTGTAATAGCTGTGTGAGTTCCTTCTTCATCCTGTCCGCCGTTCAGAAAAACCCTCCAGCTCCTGCACATTCTTTACTCGTCTTTCACGTATGTGAACCCTTTTCATTAGCAACGGTGTGGCTTTCACACTGACTGAGCGATTCATACACAACTATTACAAAAGCTGAGCCCAATGCTGTTCCTGGAGATGCACGGTCCTGCAGCGTTCAGCCCAAACCCTGCTGCGACACCGCTGTCTGTGACGACCACGTGCTCCTGAGGATCTGAATGAACTGCTGAAGGTACAGGAGATCTCCAGAAACAGGACTGGGCAGCCCTGCTGTATACAGTGATGTCAAAGAGATTATGAACCACCAATAATGATTTACTGTGAAGATCAACAAAAAACTCTCACGATGTCTTTGATTTTCCAAGTCCTGGGTGTCTACAGTCCTGCACGTGTTGTTCACATTTACAGTATCTGAGACCCCTGGTTCTAATGATTTGACATACAGTAGAAAATGTGGCAAAGTGGTTGATGTTTAGCAGCTGGCAGGAGGAAGGACCGTCTCAGACTCACCTGGGCACCGGGTCTCCACTGGCTTCACAGGCCAGATTGACATCATCCAGAGAGAAAGCGGTGTGAGACACGGGCTGAGCTGTGATCTTTGGAGCTTGTTTTACTGGGGAAAGATGGTTGCAGGATAAACAAAATAGTCATGAGAAACCATTGTTGTCACCAGTGTTTTGAGTTAAAGGTAGAGTTCACATCTGCAGGACAATAAATGCTCCTGAACCTAAACTTAACTTTCTCATGGTGTTTCCTAAAACAGCTATAAACATGTGAATTAAGTCTGTAAAAAACAGTGACCAAATCTATCTATTGTTTTAGTACAGGGTTCCTCAATAGGCGGCCTGCCTAATTTCAAATAATGTGGCATGAGAATTCAAATGCAGCATCAGAAAGCGAGATTAACTTACATCGTGTCTACACCGGACGCGACGCAACAAAATACAATAGAACCCATTATAATCAGTGATGCTGGATGCGGCGCGGCGCGACAATTCCCAGACAGAACACTAATGCCTTTATGATGCACTGACACAAAGTTCAAATGATCTGCAAAATGCTTTGCGCGTCCAGTGTACACGATGTGACAGCAAAAACATGGCGAGTGAGTGTGAAGAAAAGAAAAGTGCGGAAAATAGACCATTCAAATATGAATGGACTGAACAGTTTTGAGTGAGTGAGTGATATCTTTGTTATTGTTATGGAATACACGTGTTGGTTCACAGTGAGTTCACAGTTTTAACGTACAAGTTTGCTTTAATTTATTTTCAAGATCTGAGGTAAAATATCTTGCTTTCACTATGGCTATGAAGATCGTGCCAAATAATATTAAAACTCACATATTAGACTCTTTTAACTCTGAATAAAGCACATAATCATTACCTGAGATTATCACTGTCATATTTTGTAAGTTGTTCCTGCCACGACGTCGCAGAAAATAAAAAACATTTCTAAAATAGAATGGCGTGTCGCTTATTGTCACATGCCGCTGTTGCGGGTGGATAGGACAAAACTACATGGAAAAGATACTTTTTATCGCGTCGCGTCTGGTTGGGACACACGGGGATACAGTTTGACAACAATACCCATTCTTGTCTTAGGACAACTTTGATGAAATTTGATCCACTTCAAATGTTGACTACTGTATATATATATATATATAAATATGGGTCAGTGGCCCTGGGCTTGGTATTGTTGGCAGAATTCGGCCCTCAGCGAAATCTAATTGAGGAACCCTGTTTTAGTATGTTTTAGTCTCACAGCACAAGAAAAATCAATTTGTAGTAGCTATAATTGAAAAACTCAACTGTAAGAGTCACTCATTCACAGAGACACAGAGCCAGAAATAAAGGAATACACATACAAAGGAAGCTGAAGTACTTACGGTTGTTATATGTGTCTGATAGAGTGCAGAAGGAAGCAGTGAATGAGAGAGAGAGAGAGAGGGAGAGAGAGAGCAGGGTTAGGCAGAGTCATGCAGGCACTCAGACTATGAGGCGTTTCTGTTGATGTGGGACAGCATCCTATACAGAAATGCATTTATAGTGTTTTCCCCAACAAAATTCAGCAAAGAAATCAAATTCATGAAGGATTCAGTCAATGAGGTCACTCCTTTACATGCATTCGAGATTTAAGGGATTAGGCAACTTTGATTTCATCAGACAGAAGGAGTTCAGCACAATATAACTAGCTGTCTGGAGGAGACAAACAAATGGAAAAAAGATTTGTTGTGACTTATTGGCTAGCTACTCACCTTGCATATACACAGTAGGGCTGTCGATTCATAACATAATTAACATAGGGGGAAAAAAGACTAGTTAAAATGAAGGCATTTAAGGCACCCGGCCGCCCAGTGGATCAGTGACGAACAGCCCACTGCCGGATACAGAATGCAGTTAAATGCCCCTAAATGCAGGACACTGGGGCATAAATACCCCTGTTTGAGTTTTGTCTCATATTTATATCATATCACTAGCAACAAGTGCAGTATCCCATGTTCTGTTTTGTCCTGAACACCACAAGAACCAACATAAAAATTTTCGATTAATTCATAATAGATTAATTAATCACCACATTGTTTAATCATCATCTTTTGCTCAGAAAACAAAAAAAAATTCAACATGACACATTCTAGTGTATGGAGAAAAAAAGATCTGTATTGTCTTATTATTTCCAGTGAATCATTTGCAATTGGATCCTGCTCTCCTCCGTCTCGAAGTTCAACCGCATTACAGAAGACGTGACCCTGAATAAGGATCCAGCAGATCTACCTGCAGGAGGAGCACACCAGACAATGGCTAACTGCAATGTAGTGCTCTGACTAGCAGCTGTCAAAGACCTGTTTCTTTTTTTTTTCTTCTCAAATCGATTTGAATGAGCCCATGAAGTCATATTTACCAGGAGGTAGACCGGGGCATCAAACTCAGTTCCTGGAGGGCCACTGTCCTGCAGAGTTCAGCCCTAAATCTAATCAAACACACCTGAACCAGCTGACCGAGGTCTTCAGGATTACTAGAAACTTCCAGGCCAGTGTTTTGGAGCTGGTTGGTTGAAGCTACGCTCTGAGGGACTGTTGCTCCAGGAGTCAAATTCGACACGTGTGTTTTAGACTTTTACTTTGTACTCTGTTCCTGTTTCACATTGCCCTTGTTATGTCCTGATGGTTTTCACCTGTTTCTTTTTAGTCTATCTAGAATCCTGATCTAGAATCCTGAAGTAAAATGAAGTAGCATGGTAAGATTACATTTATCTGAATGAATAACTGAGAAATATCGATGTATAAAATTTCATTTTAGCAAACAAGAACACTCATATAAGGCTCTGAGCAAGAGTATTATTACATTATCCTGAGGAGCAAAGCGAGGTTTGACGTCTGTTTACTGAATAACTCTGATGTGATCACAGCAAGCACACATGATATAATCAGCTCTGGGTCCTGCAGAATCTGATATGCTCATCTACAATCAGATACTCGGCCAACGGCTTCTAACAGTGGCATTAATGCACCTATGCTTGATTGCTTTAAAGAAAACAGACAGAGTAGACACTGACAAATGCCATGCATTCATATATATTACAAATATATATATATATATATATATATATACAATCTTTTATCTATATATGATCTTTTTCTAAATAACTGGATGAATTAAATTTAAATGCCAAATCTGAGAAAATACTTAAAATGCATACATAGTTAATTAATTAAGGCTTAGATTATAATAGCTATTTTTTAAAGTAATAACTCTCCCTTCTTTGTCTTGTTCTGGACATGAGCAGCAGGGAGGGGTGCAGCACAGTGTGTGTGTGTGTGTGTGTGTGTGTGTGTGTGTGTGTGTGTGTGAATATTGAGCAGCGGCAGCTGTGGTGGTAAGTGCCATTAATGGATGAAATGGGGGAGCAGGCATTTATCGTTCTGTCCATCCGTCTGTATTTGTTTTCCAGACAGTTGATCCGATCATGCTGAGTCATAGGATTCGCTCTGTCTGCCACACCCTGCACTTTTCTAATCTATCACACACTTTTCTTGGCTCATCCTTGCCTGTGTGTAGGTGTGCATGGTTTTAATGTGTGCTCATATTATCTCAGCGATTTACATGTAAATATAATCACAGCCGTGTTTAATACAGAAACCAGCATAATGCTGTTCCAGCCTAACGCGCGTGGCTCACCGCCTCCTCTCCAGCTCCGTTTCCATGACAACGGAATCCCCTCGGAATGCCCTGGAACACACGGACACGGCTGCTGAGGAGAGTCAGGCGTGAGTGGAGCAGCCGAGCGCTCAGAGACGGACGCAGACGCTGTCACGGATGCCTCTGCCACGCTATTGTGCACGCAGACTGCAAAATACACAAAACGCACTGTGACTGAACACAGAGGACAGGCAGCCGGCTGTAGATCGCTGCCATCTAGGGTTGCTACCCCTCTCTTAAATTACGGAATCGTCCCGTATTTAAAGGTAAAATTATGTGTCCCGTATCAAATCAATACGGGACGCGATTTGTCCCGTATTTTACAAAGGCCAACACATATTTGAATAAACAAATACGTATTTTGCACTGTATATAATACTAATATTATACTAATACTAATTATAATGAAATCAATTTGATAAGTACTAGAGAAGCTCATTTGTGACCCTGGACCACAAAACCAGTCATAAGGGTCAATTTCTTTAAAGGGTCGTGAATGGGTGTCCCTTATTTTGCCTAGCTGAAGGTGGCAACCCTACTGCCATCAGGACTGTAGCTAGACCAGCTATGAAGGTCTTCATGAACATACGGGTCCTCCTGGACATTACATTGGCTGAAAGGCCCTTAAAGGGGTCATGAACTGAGAAACAAAAATTCCCTTAATCTTTTGACATATAAGAGGTCATTGTGCTACAAAAACATCCTGCAAGTTTCAGAACTCAAACTTTGTTATTAGTCTAAAAACAACTTATATTGAAGGCAGTCTGCCAAAACGACTGCTTGTGGAATATGCCACTCTATGATGTGATAGTGTGGATAAGCACCGCCTCTGCAGAAGAAGATCAACACCTGCTTCTACAGCACTGCCTGTTTAGCCCCGCCCACCGATTCTACAGCACTGCCTGTTTAGCCCCGCCCACCGATTCTACAGCACTGCCTGTTTAGCCCCGCCCACCGATTCTACAGCACTGCCTGTTTAGCCCCGCCCACCGATTCTACAGCACTGCCTGTTTAGCCCCGCCCACCGATTCTACAGCACTGCCTGTTTAGCCCCGCCCACCGATTCTACAGCACTGCCTGTTTAGTCCCCCGCCCACCGATTCTACATCACTGCCTGTTTAGTCCCCCGCCCACCGATTCTACATCACTGCCTGTTTAGCCCCACCCACTGATTCGTGTATATAGTTATGAGTGAGGAGAATGCGCAGGTCTACACAGAAACCAAACGATAATGATTCTCTGAAGACAACAAGACACTGTTCAGTGCCAAGCTGTGGAAAAACAGTGTTTGGATTGCCTTCTGATCCCAGCGTTAGGAAAGAGTGGATTTTTAATGAAGTTCCAGACTGTGTCAGTGAGAACTTGGTCCTTTGTTCACTTCATTTTACGACAGATTTGTTTACAAAAAAGGCATCAGAAAGATTGAAACTAAAATATCTATCTACCTTTTTTTTAAATATATATAGCGCTTTTAACAATACAGATTGTGTCAAAGCAACTGTACAGCATTAATTAGGAAAATATAGTGTCAATAATGCAAAATGACAATAGTAAACACTCAATATTCAGTCCATCTTTGAATTCAGTGATGTTATCATCCAGCTCAGTTCAGTTTAAATAGTATCTGTGCAATCAAGTCAACGATATCGCTGGAAATGAAGTGTCCCCAACTAAGCAAGTCAGAGGAACCAGAACTCCATCGGTGACAGAATGGAGAAAAAACTTGGGAGAAACCAGGCTCAGTCGGGGGGCCAGTTCTCCTAAAAAAAAAAAAGATTATGCTGTGCCGAATATATTGGATCCGACAGTAATGTCGCAACACAAGTGTGACTGTAACGGTTTTTATTACATGGTCACTCTGTCCAGTGCCTGATTAGAAAACCTACACGTCCAACCTTCATGTCATCTTACTCATCTTACTCATGTAAATATAATTGACATTTAAATGATGTGACTAATAATGGTAAAGAAACAAAGCTCTTTTTGAGCCAGACTGTGAAATCTAATCATTCTTCTACCTCTCCATGATCTATGATCATGTGGTAAGATCATGCAAATAATAAACTGGAAAAAATAAATCAATACGCTTTTTCCCAATTGCTCAATACAGCAGGCTGTTAACACATTGCAATAGAAAACTGATAGCTCCACCAAGTCGTAGTTTCATGTAACAGCAGCAGCTCCGCACCAAACCAAAAGCGAGGATTTGATTGGTTAGCCAGTGTTTAATCTGCAGACTGTTCCAGTATTACACACAGCAGAGCCCAGAATTAATGAGCCCCATATTCCCCACACAACCCTGCCAAAATAACTCAATGATCCTGACCCTAGAGGCACTCCTCCAAACAAAAGCAGAGCGTCCCATTTGTGTTTCCCATTCAAGCCTCTCTTCATGCTACATGTCAGCTGTCAGAACATGTTCACATTTACATTGAAATCAGCACAAGACTCTGCGCAGGAATTTACAGTTCTGTATTTTGAGAGGAATTAACACAATTTCTGAATGTAAAATAACAAACCAAAAAAGGCAACTCCAAATTCATAAAGCTGTACAACACTGGACAAAATGACACTGCATGCGTTACCATATATTATTAATTCATTAACAGAATATACATGACTATTTAATGATATCAGAGCTGCATTATAGAGCTGGGATCTCAAGGGCTCCTTTATCACATATCAGAGCTGCCAAAGCATTTCCTGGAAGCCTTCTGGAATTGTTC